AACTTTCATCGATGGGACAATTTTGGCTCCAACTAAGTGTCGGATGAGAATGCATAAACACCTGAGATACCATTTTGGTCGTCGTTAGAATTTCCTTCAAAATGTGTGTGTGTGTAACGTATGAGGTGGCAAATGCGCGCTGACATGGCAAACGGAGAGTATCATGTCAATAGAAGCGGCTTCCGTAAGCACTAAAAACGATGTTGTCTCACACATATAATGAAAACAACATCAATATTAGTCACGTCACATAGGACAACTTGCATCCATGTTAGCGATTTCCGCTTAAATTGGCTGACATGAAATGCATAATCGAAATTGATGTGTACATTTTTTAATCTATATTTTAGTAATTCTTTTTAATTTTTTTTCCTTTCTTTTTTTTTATTTCCCTTTTCTTTTTGCCAGTGACAGTGGCCATGGGCGGCGAGGGAACCTGGGCAAGGGTCAACCTCATAAGGCCATGCTTGAGCGACGGTGAGCACCGACGAGGCCCCCCTTGCCAGATTTGGTAAGGCCGACCTTTGCCCAGGCCAAGGTGGTCTCGCCTGGGTGAGGTTCGGCACCTCACCCGACATCACGCATTCTCGATGGTCCTCACTTGGGATCACGCAACCTAGGTGTCCGTCGAGGGTCTTTGCCTGGTTCATCTTCTTTGAAATTGCCCTCGCTCACAATTGTTAGGTGAGATTTGGAGGTCAAGTGACGATGATGGTTGAGCGTCATCGGTCTTGTCCCTCTCCATGGCGCCCTCCTTGCTCTACTTGTTGACATCTTCGTGACCAACCCTCGCCTTGGAGGTCAAGTGACGATGATGGTTGAGCGTCATCGGTCTTGTCCCTCTCCATGGCACCCTCCTTGCTCTACTTGTCGACATCTTCGCGACCAACCCTCGCCCAGACAAGGCTCGGCGAAGCCGCCCTGGCTTGGGCGAGGGTCAGCCTCGCTGAAAAAGGCAAGGGGGGCCTCGCTGATGCTTGCCCTCACCCAGGTGTGGCACGACTGGAGGTGCGGTGTTGGCTAGTAATCGTGCGTGGTGGTGATCGTGCACTGGAGAAAACTGTCGCAGATGGACCAAGGGGCAAAGTTGGAAAGGAGAAAAAAGGAAAATAAGAGAAAGAAAAAAGAAAAGAAAAAGGGATAAAAAGTATTATAACCGATCTGAGCCATCCAATTATCTTGCAACTGATGCGTTCGAAACTTAGATGGTAACTTTCCCCAACTCTAGATGATCCCAATTGTAAATAGTCCTCATCCTATAAGATAGGTTCACAGTTGTAAAAATTCGTTAAGATGTATGTCTAAGGTGTTGTAGAGCCCCGCAATGGATAATAAGAGTTACTAGAGTACATTACACTAAGCTTGCTCGTGACTCATTGAAACCATTTCTAGAGGTCGTATTCAGTTGGCTCGTGATATTGAATTGGAGTGATAACAAGAATACAACGTAAAATAAGACATATTCTACATAGAAAGGTGATCTCCATTTCATATTATTTCGCATTATCATGCCATCCGTCGATATGCTTTAGGACTCTAAGACTAGTGGTCATCGAAAGGGGAAGCAACAGTCTCCACAACCAAAAAACACATTCGATACCATCCACCCTTGTAATTTCATCCACATAATTGGAGCTGTTCACATTATTTTTTTTATGTGATAAGTAATTTGTTCGGTCCTTATCCCTATCAGCGAGTTGCCGGGCAGTTCACGTATTGCGGATTGCGTGGTGTGTACGTAGTTATGTAGCAAATCAACAAATGACTCTGACTCGATTGAGGGCGTTGAGGTTTCTGTCTCATCTTGTGCACCCAAACACATCGGATGCAATTAGCTATTCCGCTTGAGATTTCTTATTTTCCTATTTAAAGGTTTCGTCATTAATTCGATCTTGGTCTTTGATCACTCAATTTCGAGTATATCTATGATGGTTTTCCTATTAAGCTCCCGGTCGTGGATTTGAAACCCACTAGTCACTCCTCGACCTTCGGAAGCCTTGGTTCTTCTGCAACATATGTTCAACAGTGTCATTGTATAGGATAAACTCGACCCCACTCTCATTAACACCGTGATGGGGCGGAGGTAACAAACTTGCTCAAAATGAATAGTAATTTTGGCTCAAATCCAATATTTTATCATAGGTGTGGAACTCTTGCTAATAACATCCAGAGGGTCACAGACGCGAAAAGTTCATTCTTACCTATTTTTTAATAAAGAAAGAACTACGTATTTTTCACTCTGGCCGAATTTAACCATTTGTAAATTCACTTTGTATTGGCCTTGGGTGATATTACTCGAAGTAGCAATTGCTCGGCTTTTAATTTGGATTTTGATTTCTCATCTTTACTCTCTCTTTTTTTGGTCAGGCTCATCTTTACTCCTTCAATTTCACTTTGTGGCACCTTTTTCAGCCCTTTCTCTAACAATTAATTTTTTTTATATTTGGTTAATACCACGAAAAACCCCAAATTGGTATATCTGTGATAAATTTATCACAAACTAATTTTTGGATCGCTAAAAATCTCAAACTGGTACACATGTGACAAATTTAACCCAAACTGATACATGCGTGATACATTTACCCTTTGCTAACTTTTGTCAAATTTTACCATGAAATTGATAAGTTGAATAATCTTTCTCTTTCTCTCTAATTCGAAAACTAATAGGGCTCATTCTCTCTCTCTCTCTCCCTCTCTCTCTCTCTCTCTCTCTCTCTCTTCATAGCACTCTAATCATTCTTTGTCTTTCTCTTTATCGAGCACACTACTTCATCGTTGTCTTTGTCTTCGTGATTAGACATCATAAATCGTTTGAGTACACTTTTATCTCTAATAATCTTCTCGCCTTCAATTTTTTTTTGCCAACTTGTTTGGCTAACTCATCCAAATCACCAAATTAGGATGTTTAGTGGCTTCAATTGAAAGTGGTTCGAAGCGAAGCACGTCATCTTCCAGCTCTATCAATGAAGTTCGTCGGAAGATGATCTAAGGTTTTTCATACTCTAATGGAGATAGAGAATGAGCCCTATTTGTTTTCAAGATAGAGTTATGGATTTCCACGTGGACTTGCCACGTCAACTGAGTTATTGTTATGTATCATTCAGCTCAGTAATTTCGCGGTAAAATCTGACGGAAACTAACGGAGGATAAATATGTAACGAGTATACTAGTTTGGGATTTTTGGCGATCCAAAAATTAGTTTAGGGAAACTTTATTACATGTGTACCAATTTAGAATTTTTGATGATTCAAAAATTAATTTGGGGTAAATTATCACGGGTTTATTAATTTGGCATTTTTCGTAGTATTAACCTTTTACAAAGATCGTTAATGTGATTATTCACTCAGATTTATGTTAGGATACTGTACCGTCAAATGACATAAAGCCGCAGTCTAACATACAATTATCACAATACAATTATTGCGCCGTTTTTAATATACCATCAGGAATTAAGACCAGTTGATAATTATTCACATTGTATTTTATTTAATGATGACATTGAGCCAAAGCTCTTCTAGGTACGTGGCAGATAGTTTGAGATGCTATCGTCCAGATTGCCATAATCATTCTTATTACTATATATCCCAATACAAAATGAATGCTCTTTTCATCTGTCATTAATTAGCACGTTCCGCTTACTTACTTCAAAAGTCATTATAGAGGTGGCCCATTTCCACATGGAATTTTTTTAAAAAAAAATATCCTCAAAGTATTTGCCAAAAGTCATTAATTTTGCTTTGAAAATATGAACATTCTATTTGAAACACATCATTTTTTTTAAACCATCTGTTCCTTTTCAATTTTCAAGATATGCCGATATGTATTAGTACTTATTTTAACAGCTTACGTTAAATGATCTCGGGGGTAGTTATTAGGGAAAATGACGCAAATGATCTCTGAACTTTGATCCAACATGTAATGTGGTTCATGAATTTTTAATTTATTCAATGAAGTCCTTGAACTTTAGCCCAATGTATAATGTGGTCCCTGAGTTATTGATTTGGTTAATATGGCTTCTGGACTTTTTATACATGTTTAATTTATTCCAGGAACTATGTAAAAATGTTCTATATTGTTGAACATTTTTACATAGTTTGGGGACTACATTGAATAAATTAAAAGTTCAGAGATCACATTACACGTTGGGCTAAAGTTCATGAACTTCATTAAATAAATTAAAAGTTCAGAAATCACATTGCACGTTGGATCAAAGTTCAGATCATTTATATCATTATCTCTATATATTAATGAGACCCGGTTATTAAATTTTAGCAAAGTAGCCATCCTTTTTTCCGATAAGCGGCCTAGCTAGGCACTTGCATTAAAGGTACGGTATACCTACGTTTGTTTCTCGTTACCAGAAATGCCTGACAAATTCATCTTTCGACTTTGGACTGACTCAGAAAAATTCCTTCGCAGTCAATCGTGCACGGAGAAGTAACCACGGAAAATGACATCTTATTAATGAAAACGCTGCAGCACGCATTAAATTGGTAGTCAATTTAACACATCCTGGCAGAACGAAACCAACAACTGGATCTCAATTGAATACTAGTTTATCTTTCCATTAGAGTAGGGCAGATTAGACCCATTTATTTTATTAGGACTAGACAAGGTCGCTTTCTTCGATCTTTAAGTAGGGCATACTAGATTAGGGGTTCGAAAGCACCGCGACTAATACGAGTTTCGCACCAGGCGGGCCGCGGAACAGGTTGGTTGCGAAAAGAGGCAGTGGGGTGTCGGAGGGGGCGAGCTTGTCGGGCACCGGACGGGAGGTTCAGGCGATGGGTTAACAAGGGAATGGTTTGAAAATTGAAGATTTTTTTGTGAAGTTATACTTATAAAGTGAGTTAGGATACTGTCAACACAAGGCATATAATATCAAGGAAATGGTTACTGTGCCTGTTGTATTTTTATATTGAGTCTCTTTCACTTAATAAGGATGCATTTGGCCTTACTAAACCTGCTCCTTAAATTAAACATCTGCAATTCTCTCTCTCTCTTTTGGAGTTACACCTTTATTCTATGTTTTGAATTTAAATGAAATGATGAAGTGCAAAGAGAGGAAAGACTTTTGGGAAGTGATGATATAAAAGGAAGGGCTCACGTTTCTTCATGATGAGGGAGCGCATGTTGTCCCTCCCCCTCTCTCACCCGCACAGGGACAGATCTTAAAGTGAATCACAGACCAGACAATTGCCATGGCCAGATCACTCGCGCTCTCTCTCTCCAAAAGGACATGGTGGAGCTGCTGAGATGAAGGTGAAGAAGCTTTCAGTACAGAAGAGTAAGAGCATGTGATTCAGAGTTCTTGGCCTCTCTCTCTCTTGGCCTTTCTCTCTCTCTCTCGATTGTCATCTTCTTTTCTCGTTTAACTAAATTCAATGGTCTACGCTCTCGAGTATAATATTACTGAGATGATGATATGATGCAGTAAACAAGTGGTACGTTCTCTTTTTTAAGTTTAAATTGGAGTTGAAGGGTTATATTATACTTAGCTCTGTTCTTGGTTCTTGTTGCTGTTGTTGCCCAACTGTTACGCTTTTCTTGGTCGACGCTGTCACTATCTCTCCCCTCCACCTCCTTAAACCTTGAAACCTCGTCGTTTTCGTCACCTATGGTTCTTCATCTCCCACTCTGTCTCTCTGGGGGTGCTTGTTGTTTAGCGTTTTTCGCCGAGACCGAGGAATACAGTATATGCAGAAGCAGAGCAGGCGCATTTCTGCTCTCTCTCTCTCTCTCTCTCTCTCTTTCTAGACTAGAGTGTCTCCGATGCTCACCGCTTTCAATTTTCCCGCTCTGCAAAAGGGTCTGTGAAATGAATTGCTAAACATTGCGTCGAACCTACCTCTCTCTCTCTCTCTCTCTCTCTCTCTCTCTGCGTGCCAAATTTCTGAAGGAGTCGGTTGGATTCAGCTTTATCTGCGCCATCTTTGTAAACACTGCCATTTTCAGCCTATTTTTTTTTATTATCAAGAATTCATTATTATATCCTCGTTTTAGTTAGTGGGACTGATATTGAAGTGCTTGCGATGTTTGTTTTCTCCCTGAGGAAAGTGAAGAGAAGATGAACTCAAGAGCTCGAACTGCCATTCAAACCACGAAATCTCCTCCAAATCCAGAGAAGGTAAGCTCTTTTCTTTCTACCCCTTTACTTCATCTGCATAACATTACCAATTCAACATCTCAGCTTCTTCTTGACAATCAGACTTCGCTATGTGAATTTCTTCCCAGTGGGTAATACACGATTGATTGAGATTGAATGACTCAACGTCCAATTCAATTTCAAGTCACTATCTCTGTTCCCGCAATAATTGATGTTCTCTGTTCTTTCTTTTCTTTTCTTTTCTTTTTTGCTTTTGCTTTTTCCTTGCTTTCCTCTGTTTTGTCAATGTCCGAGTGTCCTTTAGATATTCTTTGGATGTGTTATCATCTAATTCTGGACCGAAAAGGCCGTCGCTTTTGATAGGAATCTGAACTGGGTTCTTTCACTATTCTCAAGAAAAGAATATGGCTTCTCCTCTTTGATCTTCTTTTTGCTTCACTTTGAACTTACGTATTTAGTTTGGGTTTTGATCTTTTGGTTTTGATTTCATTATGCCAAAGAAGGAAAGAATGCAGACTCAAGGAAGCAAAGTGATGGGAACTGAGAAGCCCGTGGCCAATAGGCGACGCTTGAACAGAGAAAAGAAATTGGCACTACTTCAAGATGTACGGAAACCATCAATTCTTGAATATTTCCGTCCTTTTTAGTGGGTGATTTTGAGCTTGTAACTCCCGGTAGTTTCAATAGCTTCAAACTGAATTTGCTGTCGGGAATTTGCAGGTGGATAAGCTAAAGAAGAAGCTCAGACATGAAGAGAATGTTCACAGAGCATTGGAGAGAGCCTTCACTAGGCCTCTTGGAGCTCTTCCTCGTCTCCCTCCTTATCTCCCTCCTTATGTTAGTATATTTATCATTTCTTTCCTTTGATTAACTCTCTCGCGTGCACTCTCTCATTTCCAATTTTTTATTTTATCTTATATGTTGCAATAATGGAGATGAAAAGACCCAGATAAACTTGATCTCAATATAATTTGCTCAAATTCTATGTGTGAACTGTTTGTGTTTGTGTTGATCCTGGTAATTATGCAAATTGAGTCACTGATAAAGCATGTGTTTTCTTTTCTAGACGTTAGAACTTCTTGCTGAAGTAGCTGTTTTGGAAGAGGAGATTGTTCGACTAGAAGAGCAGGTGGTGAATTTCAGACAGGGTCTATACCAAGAAGCTGTTTACATATCCTCCAAGAGGAACGCCGAGGTTTCGAGTGATGCCTCTGATGAATTGCCAGCGAGAAGGGCTAAACACGAGCGGTCGAAGTCGATGTCGCAGAGCGACTTCAGTTCTCTAGCATCTGTTCCCAGGCATCAACCAGCGCTCACCAGGAGCGTATCTAGTAGCAAACTCTTTTTTTCAGAATCTATACATGATCGGACCGGGAATAGTTCTAGCAGGGCCATGAATGGGAAACTAGCACAGAAAAAGTTCATCTCTCCTCCGCCGATTTTGGAAGATGTGCGAGGAAAGGAGAATTGCCTGCACGTGAATTCTTTGAAGGACAAAGTGTCGCCTCAAAAGAAGACTTCGAAGAATTCCACACCAATCAAGAAAAGTCCAATTAAGCAGGAACAGGCAGAGAAGATGCTAGAATCTTCAAAACCACAGGTATGATTTATAAGTTTTTCTTTTTCCAGGCTCATATTTTTTAGAACTTAGCCATACTGATTATTGATTTGAATCCTGCAGCTAGAGAGCAGATTTGGAGATCACGAAAAAGCACAGCAGAATTCCTTCAGCTCTTCGCATGATGGAGCAGCCCAAGTGGATGAATCACCAAACAAGATATCAGAGGACATTGTTAAGTGCCTGTCTAGCATCTTTGTAAGGATGAGCACATCTAAAGCAAAAGCTTTTGGATTGTCGAATTCGCCGTCTGAATTGACGAACTTCGAAGGGAGAAATGGAGAACTAGCCTACTGGGATCCTTACGAAATATGTCCAGAATTCGGGAAGAGGGATGTTGGTCCTTACAAAAATATCTGCACGGTGGATGCTAATTTAGTTGATGTTAATCGGAAAACGAATGCTCTGTTTCTGATCCAAAGGCTGAAGTAAGTTCTTCCCCTTCTTGGTTCGCACTTGACATCCAGTTGTGTCATCGACCTGACTTTGTCGATTAATTGACTTCAGGTTTCTTCTTGGGAAGCTTGCCTCCGTTAACCTAGAAGGGCTCACTCATCAGCAGAAGTTAGCATTCTGGATAAACACTTACAATTCTTGTATGATGAATGTGAGTCTTTCCTTTATTGTGGTGTTCCTAAGTTGACACACTTGCCCAATTTCATGAAGCGATTTGCCCGAAAGCTTATTAATATGATCGATGGTGCAGGCATTTTTGGAGCATGGGATACCAGAGACTCCTGAAACAGTAGTTGCACTGATGCAACTGGTGAGATTTGTAATCTGTATTACATTGCGATGCGCTAATATTTGGTTCTGCCACAAACATATTTTGGCTGATTAATGTATTCTCTAGTAGTTTCATTTCACTGTCTTAGGAGCCACTGTGTATGTAACACAACCTTTGTGCATTTCCAAGTTCTTCAGATTTTGGGTACTAATGTAAAATCATCTTTGTAGACATTAAGGCGGTGAAAAAAGAATGATGATTGAACTTAGCTTATTGGACTAAATTATCAACTGTTTGTTCTGTGTTTGCTTCAGGCGACAATCGATGTTGGGGGTCAGTTGATGAATGCAATTACCATCGAGCATTTTATCTTGAGGCTGCCTTACCACTTGAAATTTGTAAGTATAAACGCAAACCTTTTCTAAGATTGTCTTGAGAGGTTTGTTTGTGAATCTGTAAAATTCCTCGAATCAGACTAGGATTGATTGTTTATTTAGACATGTCCGAAAGCTTCGAAGAATGAGGATGTGAAAGCGCGCCGCACATTCGGGTTGGAGTGGTCCGAGCCATTGGTTACATTCGCTCTCTCCTGCGGCAGCTGGTCATCGCCCGCAGTAAGTTCAATGGCATTATCAACAGATCTCTCACGTTATGCATGTCGAATCAATTTCGTTCGAGTTTGTTGAGCATAGTTTCAACCTTGAGTATCAGCTAGAACTAGATATGAATAAACGTCGGGTACTCGTCGTGAATTAGGTGCGTGTCTATACTGCGTGTCACGTTGAGGACGAACTGGAAGCAGCAAAGAGGGACTATCTCCAAGCATCGGTGGGCATTTCGAGAACCAACAAGTTGATAATCCCTAAGCTTTTGGACTGGTATCTGCTCGACTTCGCAAAGGACATGGAGTCGCTGCTGGACTGGGTGTGCCTACAGCTACCGGACGACCTCCGCAGGGAAGCCGTCCGGTGCCTCGAGAAGAAGGGAGAGCCCCTGTCGCAGCTGGTGCAAGTGACGCCGTACGACTTCAGCTTCAGGTTGCTGTTGCAGCAGTGAATGGGTTTGATGTTCTCTTTCTTTGGTTGGGGCGGCCTAAAAAGTATTTGGTTGATTGATTTATTCAAAAGTCCTGGAACTTATACATGTCCATCCTCTTTTTCTCTATACATATTTCCCTTTTGGTTATATTGGGGGGTGGGTTCTGTCACAATAAGATGTATTGTGCCTTCGATGGAATGAAGATAGAAACGTGGTTTGGAGGCTTGTAAAAAAACTCGTTGTGCATAGTCAACTTCTGATGTTCTCTCCCACTAAACCTCAGCTTCTTGTCCATTGGAAAGATGAAGCTCCCCTTCTCCAACAAGGGCTCAACGCCCACCACCCCATTTCCCAGAGGCAACTGACAGAGACTTATGCTCTCATTAACATTGTCCTCTGCAAAATGTACTTCGTCTGCCATCGTTAACCTCTCACTGTTCGGAATTTGATCTTTTTATTCCTTCCTTGGGGGCTCTCTCCAAGTTCACTGCCGCCGCTGCCTCCCACCAGCATCTGCACTGTGCACGGTGCCAGTCGACCAGCAGCCCCGACAACTGGGCACGAGCAAGCCCAGCCAAGCCTCCACCCTCTCCACCGACTCCGCTAGCCCCCACCTGTGTCTCGCGACGACCCAATAAACGTCCTGAGGTGAGACAGTTCTTGCCCAGGTCACGCGACCTCAGGCGATGTGACGCATTGGGCCGCGAGACCTCATGTGACGTGACATTGAGGCCGCGCGAGCCCAGGCAAGGCGCCACAGTCGGCAGTGTCCCTCGACCTCCTCTGCTGGCGTCCTGATTTGGTGAAGATCTGTTTGTCCTCCTCGACCTCCGCCATCTCTGGTGCAGATCTCGACCGGGCCTTGGCCTCAAGCAAGTCCCGGCACCTCAAGTGATGTGACACAGAGGCCGCGCGATGCCAATCAGATCTAAGCTCGGTTGAGCCGTGCTCCGCCGGTCAAATCTCTTATGCATTGAGAAATGTTGATTTGCCTTGATGGTGAGGTTAAAACTGGAATTTAAATAGTTCAAGGAAGGCAAAGTTGGTAGAGAAAATCCATTAACCCATGAAGTAGCATTCCGAAAATGCTGAAAGTCAATGACAAGTGGAAATTGCATTATGTTAAAAGGCTTTGGAAATGTTAAGGGCCTTTGGTAATATGTTATCAAATATCTCAACTTTAATGTAAGTGCCTTTCGAGGCCTATAAGACTTTGGAAATGCTCTTTCAAATGTACCCTTCTCGTTCGGCTCATTGTTTGAGTTTAATCGGTTAAGATAACTCAAGATTTTGGTGTTACAAATGAGGGTGATTCTACTTGGGTTAAATTTTCTAGGTAGATGTTAAAATAATTTTAGTAAAAGAATTACTAACAATATGGTTTTTCTACAATAAAATTTGTATGAGATTATTAACTCTTTTTGACTGGATATCTACGGTTAGGTGACCTAACTATAAGATTTGATCTCTTCAATCTTACAATCAATCGGACCATCCTTTTTTCAACCTGCTGATCAAGTTGCCTGTTATTCTTAGCAAAACAACTTGAATTACTATCTTTTATACGGTAAATGATTCTCATTAGTGGTAAAATATTTCATGTATAGTAAAAACGCAAATTCATAATAAAATAATGTTTTTAGTAATATCTCATTTTCATGAGTATAATACTGACAAAATTTCATCAACCAAAACCAAATGATCGTTTCTTAACACACTAAGAAAATCGAGAAACAAGATAGATAAAATTAAAAAGGAAAAAATAATTATTCTAAAAAAACATAGAACAATATAACATTATATTATAATTAAAGGACAACACATAAAAGAAAGTGGTTGGAGAGCGGCTGGCTTTGGAAGAGATTAGGGACCCTCGCCGAGTATTGGAGAGGGTGACGCTACCATCTCCATTTGCTAGCAAGGGTTGCGAGACCCTTGCCCCTGATCTAGCAAGGGTTAGATGACCCCCTCCCACTGTTGGGACGGGTGTCGTGGCCCAATAGGCTATGAGTGTCCCCAAACCTTGTCGGATCGGTCGATGGGGGTAGGCAGTGGCACATAGCAATTGCCTAGCCACGCCTCTCTCTCTTCCTCTCTCCACTTTTTGAACATTCTGCGATCTCATCTTGTGATTATTTGGTATTTACTGGCTAAATTTCACGTCTCTATTATGTCGACGCATGACTTTGGAAGGTTTTTATAGTAAAGATATCATAGTTTAGAATGTGTTAGTTTTTCCCATCACTTTAGGCCGGTGAGCTTTCTCAAACTTCAGCATCCTTGAGCCAAAAATTAAAGAGCGGGCCTGAAAAGCAAACTGGTCTAAGATCGGCTCGGTTGAAGCAACTCGCTTCTTGAGCCCAATTTAGGATTTTCTGGTCTAATGGGCGTTTCTACTAGTGGTTTGTATCCCTAGCCCAATTCTTTTTCAATTGTGTTTATTGCACTGTTTGTAACAAAGGAAAAATAGGAACGGGATATGTTCATTAGAAGTCTTAGAACTTGTCATAAAAGTGCAATTGATTCTTAAAACCTGCAAAAAGTGCAATCAAGTTCTAAAACTTATCAAATTGGTTCAATCGAGTCTTAAAGTTAACACCGTCCAATTTGGCTAACGGAAAATGCTAATGTGGTTTTTTTTTTTTATATTCTACGAGGCGATAACGTGGCTTATTATTATTTTAATATTAATTTTATTTAAATTTAATTTAAAAAATAAGGTAAAACTTTTTTAAAAAAAGGGGAGGAGGAGGACAGGCGGCAACGTCTTTTTAGTCTTATATTTCATACTTTAGCCATGTCATCGCCACGTAGAAGAGAGAAAATATTAAAATAAGCCACATTATTATTTTTCGTTTGTAAGTTTGACGGTGTTAACTTTAGGACTCATTTGAACCAATTTGACAAGTTTTAGGACTTGATTGCACTTTTTGCAAGTTTTAGGGCTCAATTGCACTTTTGTGATAAGTTTTAAGACTTTTAGTAAACTTTTCCCAATAAGAAATGATACAGACTTTGCAAAACGTGGGAAAGTTTCTCGATTCTCTTAAAGACCCACGCACTGATGCAGTTCGATTAGAATCCGACTAGAATCTGCAACCAAATGTTGATGTGGTTAATTTTAGTGTACACGTAATGCAAATGTGGTGCCACATCTGACCTCGCCGGCCCTCTGGCCAGAGTCATACGACCCTTCCCCAGTTGGAACGACTGTCATGCGACGACACGATGCAGATAGACCTGACTATGGGCATGACGGCCCGTGGGTCTGCCCAGACCCAATTTGAGCCACATGGGCCCAGAGACACTTCAGGCAAGCTCGGGTAAGGGCATTCAATGAGAAGACTCGGTCTAGCCTAGTTGGGGGCCTAAGCCGAGCCCCGCCCAACCCAATAATTTACATATAAGGTGAATCACTTTATTCTCAATGCAGTTTCCTGCACACCAATCACTTATGGATACAACAATTACTCGTGTATATTTGCATAGTGTTGCTTTCGATGTGGACTCCTTTCATTTTCATATACTCTAGACTTGTGGTCCTTTGAGGAGGAAAAAAATAGGGGTTATTATGAGAATCTCAATCGCTACCTGGGGACTTAAATTGATATTTATGAAATATGGGTCCTCCAATTCATTGATGAGAAAAGATTACGTGGGTTCCTGATGAAATCTTCCTGCTCCCAACAAATTACTTTTCATCTAATAACTGTGAAATTTAGTGACCCACATGATAAATATATGAGAAAATAACACAAACAGTCCTTGAACTTTGACCCAATGTGCAATGTGGTCCCTGGACTTTTGGTACATGTTCAATTTAGTCCATGAACTATATGAAAATTTTTAATGTAGTTCTTCCATTAATTCAAGTTCATGGACTACATTGAACATTTTCATATAGTTCAAGGACTAAATTAAACATGTACCAAAAGTCCAAGAACTATATTAAACAAATTAAAAGTCTAGGGATCAAATTGAACATTAGAACAAAGTTTAGGGACTACATTGAACAAATTAAAAGTTCAGGGATCAAATTGCATATTGAGCCAAAGTTTATGGACTGTTTGTGTCATTATCCCTAAATATACTGCTGAAAATTGCCCGACTTTTGTGGGATAGGGACATGATCATGATAACTTCATCGACCCACCTTGACAAAATCGGAGCACTCACAAGCATATTAAGGTAGAAATATATCGATTTTCAAAGCTTCAATTCAACATAATATGAGTAAAGCACTGCAAAATCTTCTTTAGTTGTTTACAAAGTGTCAATGAGATACCCATTAATAAGATCCTCACAATATATATATGAAGGCCAAATCATTTTTCGTGTACGAGCAACGGGCTATCAAAAACAAAAGGACAAATTATCGAAAAAAGAAAAGAAAGTAATGTTTATGCATGTACAAATGAGGCCTAATGCAAGAAACTTGTAAGAAGTCTTAAAAGGGGATAAAATTTGTCCGGAGCTTTAAAACGGCCCGTCGACATCTAAACTTTTTCTCCCTCAAAGGTCCCCTTTCGCGTGTTGTTGAAACTACTCAAACTAGGAATCCAATTCATTCCTATTGTTGGAATCCGACCTCCGACCCAAAAAAAAAAAACTATAATATATGTTCTCGCACTAGCATTTCTCGTTGTATTTTCCATACGTGTGGAACGACTAACGATGAAGTTGGCTGAGCTCTCGAATCCCTCGATTAACATTGAAAGGTGGACCCTTCTCGCCGTTGGTGCTTCCCCAGGCCTAACCAAGAATCGATAGATGGAGTCAGGGCCTAGTTAGGATCCGTCTTAGGAACCGCACTAGAAGGACCGGCCATGAGGTGTTCACGAGTGAGGTTCCACCCATGACTGGACTAAGGGGAGGCTCGTAGCCTTCCTCATTCTCGTGCATGGCATGGTTAGTCAACAGAAATCATTTTACGATCGAAGAAAATGTTTCACGCTTAAAATGAGGAGTCCCTGACTTGAAAGATGGAAAAAAAAAATTTGTGGAAAATAATCTTCATGGAAACCAATTTGAAGTGTGTGGATTACGAAAATCCAAGTTCGTAATAAAGTCGGTCTCACAAGTTTAATATGAATATCGTTATTGTCCTCTGGCTTTGTGCCTTGGTGTGCGAAGAATGTGCAGAGG